GCGCGTCATCGGCGAGGAGCACAGGATCTGGAGGAAGAACACGCCGTTCCTGTACGACCTGGTGATGACACACGGCCTGGAGTGGCCCAGCCTCACGGTGCAGTGGCTGCCTGGCGTGAGCAGGTGAGAGGAGGGAGGGGGGGCCTGGAAGGTGCCAGGGAGCACAGCTGCTTCCCTCAGCTCCTGCCCCGCAGCCTGTTCCACTGCTCCTTCCCCGTCCGCCGTGTCTGCTGAGCAACTACAGCATAAAAATCGCCCGTAGAAGAAGAATCTCTGTTAAGACTCCTCTCTGGGAGCTTGTAAACATTTTATTTTGTTTACAACTTTAAAAACCCTTTGGGTACCTAGAAGCTTTTAGGAATAAAGTCATAACCTGACGCTTGGCAGAGCTACAGCTTAGCCTAGTGGAAGGTACCGTAAGGTGTGAATAGAGAAATCTTTCTCAGTTTATTGCTTAATAAAAGATCCAGTGCTCATCTATAGTTAGTTCTGAACAGAGGAATCTATCTACTAAATTAGCTTGTTCTCAAAGACTTTTTCCTTGTGTGCACTACAGATTACTGTTGCATCCAAGCTACAGTATCTGTCGCTGATGGTTTTGCTTTTGTTTGAGTCTGGACTTATTTAAGAGGTTATTATTCTAAGACTGCTTCTTCAGACCCTGATTTTGTCCCTGGCTCATTGTTAACTTTATGTATTTTGCCATTCTTCCACTTTCCCTTGAAAATAGTGGGTTCACTGGTTAATTTCTGAAAGTATCATGAAGATGAAGGTAGATTCTGTTCATGTTCCAGCTACTAGAGAACTGAAATTGTTGCAGTGACCCCTCAGGGCTCCATGGAGGTAGTGGTCAAGGACTGAGTCCCTTGTGTAAACTAGACACAGCTAGATTTGAAAACATCTTATGTGTAAACTTCATGCAACTATCAGAGGATGGTCTCTTTTTTTTTTTTTTCTTTGTATGAAATTCCATCTTACATGTGATGCTTTACTTGGTGGTTAGATGATCCACTTTGGCATACCAGAATGTTTGGGGATGATGTTGAGATGTGAGCTAACGAGTCCATGGCATGGAGAAAGTGAAGTGGGGATTTGAGGGTGTGGAGCCCTTATGAGGAACACTTCTGCTTGCCTCGTATTTTGCAGATTGACTTAATATTCAGTTAAAAACCTGGTATTTCCAATTATCCAGTGTCAAAATATGTAAGCCATTTAAGGCCAGGACTGTCTTTGTATGGCACCTGACATGATGGGACACCTATTCCTGATGCAAGTAAGTGCATGTGCATTGTGTGTTTCTTGTTTTGTTTTGTGGGTTTTCCCCAAAGTGATGTAGTAATACCTGTGGTGGTTTATGATTGCCCAAATAATTCCTTATTGCTTGGATTCAGCAATTGTTTGGTTGCTTTCAAGAAAGCAGAATTTGCTTGGTTTTGACTGCTCATGTTTTTTCTTTCAGAGATAAGTGGCACTGTCCATCTAGGCTTTGAACTAACTGCTGCATTTAACTGCCAGGAGAGAAATTTGATTCTGGATAGCTGGGATCTGTACAGTATTTATAAATGAGCTTCTGCAATAAAATAACTGGTAAAGGCCTCTAAGAGAAGTAACTAAATTAGGTTGCCTCTTTTCTCCTCAATATTTGTGTTTTATGGATCTGATTGTTTTCTAGATCAATACCACGAGGCGGCTAGGGGAATTAGATGGAAGTAGGTATTGGTGTCATCTCTAACTGCTGTGCACACTGTGGTTGTCCCTTTCAAGCCACAGTGGCAATGTCTACTGACTTGTATTGTTGCTCTAGCCTTGCTGGTTGTGTCTTTGGCTCATGGCAGAGTCTCGTTCACTTTATTGCACAAGTCTTTGCGACCGAGGGACGATCTCTCATGTGAATGTCTCTTTTCTAGCTCCCTGAAGAGGTTTAGATCTTGAGGGTTATTGATGCTATCTGTGAAATGTCTGGAACTGAGCACATAATTTTATTCCATGTATTTATTATTCTAAACAGGCCAGAAGGGAAGGATTATGCTCTGCACTGGCTGGTTTTGGGAACACACACGTCTGATGAACAGAACCACCTGGTGGTTGCCAGAGTCCAGATTCCCAACGATGATCAGTTTGATGCCTCCAAGTATGACAGTGAGAAAGGAGGTGAGCATGCGGCATTCTTAGTCTGTTCTTGCAGTAGCATTGCTAAATGTTCTAACCTTAGCTTTTAAATACTAAAGCAGACATATACTTATCAGTTCACACTCATTCTAGATCATTAATTGTGACTAAACAGAGGTAGCTTCTTGTTTCAGAAGAATTTGGGTAACATGATACACAACCTTTACTAGCATTTCTACCAGCTCTATCAGTTGCAGTGAAAACTGATACACATCTACCTCAAATAGAGACTAAAGCTCTGTGAAAGGATTCAAAATACCAGAAGTGTTGGTGCTGTTGTGTCACATGGTGTAAGTCTCTCATAGGCTTTTTCATGTTTGGTAAGATGTTTACTGCTGTTTCTTGGAGCATGGAAGATGCTGTGAAATGCTGTTTCACCATTGGAATATAACTGATGTGACAAACTGACCTTTTGTTGTGACAAATGTAGAGTTTGGTGGCTTTGGCTCTGTGACTGGCAAAATTGAAACAGAGATTAAGATTAACCACGAAGGTGAAGTGAACCGAGCTCGTTACATGCCGCAGAATCCCTGTGTTATTGCCACAAAAACACCTTCTGCTGATGTGCTGGTGTTTGACTACACTAAACATCCTGCAAAACCAGGTGGGTCAGACTGCACGAAGTTAAGCAAAATGCCTCATGTCATAAACTTGTGTTTGACTGTAACTGGGAAGAGAGTTGATGGGCCCTGGAATCCCAATGAGGAGACCCATGTCTTCAGTGACTTGAACTGCCTGGTTATGCTCAATATCATAATAGAGTCTTGATAGGAGCAGCATTCTCTCAAATAGGTTCATGTATCAAATATAAGTAACAAGTAATTATTGCAACAGAAACAAAATTCTTGAGTGATAATGATGGCCTTTTATGGATTGATGTGCAAGGTAATGCTAAGCAGAAGGAATTTCCTCTCTTTCAGACCCAAGTGGAGAGTGCAATCCTGACCTTAGATTAAGAGGGCACCAGAAGGAAGGCTATGGCTTATCATGGAATTCAAATTGGAGTGGACATCTTCTCAGTGCATCAGATGATCATGTGAAAAACCACATCTTTTCCACTATTTTAAAAAACCCACCCAACTCCTTCTAATTTATGATGTAATACATAATCAGAGGAAGTCTGGCTTAGTGCAGCTGTGTATTGTTACGCGGGGAAGTTCTCTCATTGTAATTACATTTCTAAAGGCTGTCAGTGGCTTTAGGCTGTAATCACCCACCAGTTCTTTTTAAGGTTCTTGATGAAATAAGAACAGAGTATTTTGCTAGTTATCTACTGGAAGAAACCCTTCAAACTGGCTTAGGTCAAGACCATAAATTAGTAAGACTCTCAAAGATCAATAGAACTAATAGCTTATAAAATTCTTTGTGGATATTAAAAGTGTAAATTGCTTTTGTAACCTTATAAATAATCCTTGGGCCCCAAACTTCTAGAAAACTGATTGATAATTTAGCTCTCTTCTCACAGCATAGTAAGTGTTCCTTTTAAAAAACAAAACTGGTTTGGGAATGTCATCTATGTATATATGTAGAGTGAGTATTTATTCATTTGAAAGATGATGCAGTCAGAAATAGAATGTGACTTATTTGCAGACGGTGTGTTTGTGGGATATAAGTGCTGGACCAAAGGAAGGCAAAATTGTGGATGCTAAGGCAATCTTCACTGGGCACTCTGCGGTGGTAGAAGATGTGGCTTGGCATCTGCTCCATGAATCCCTGTTTGGATCTGTGGCAGATGATCAGAAGCTTATGATGTAAGTTGGGGTTAGGAGGTTTCTGGGTAGTGCCTGCTGTGCTGCCAGTGGACCAGTACAGAGCGTTTGGATTAAAAACCACCTGAATTTTGCAATGATTTCGTGTAGCTCTTCTAGGCAGTCCGCAACAGTAATGGTGCAGAATCACAGAAGTCTGCATGCCATGTAATGTGTTCACATCCTTTGAAAAGCAGCTGTAACTAATATGTATGTCAGCTTCCTGGTGCAAACTACTCGTGCACAACAGACACAAAATACTGAAGGTTGTAGAATGACAACTAGCTTCAGAGTCGGGTTGAATAATAATGTAGGATCTTATACTATGGTGTAGTGAAAAAGAACCTCCTGTAGAAACTTATGGTTTTTTATTCTCCCTCTCTCTTCCCTGACCTTCCCCCAAACCCTTCATTGCAACAGTTGGGATACAAGATCTGATGACACATCCAAGCCAAGTCATTCGGTAGATGCTCATACAGCTGAGGTCAACTGTCTGTCCTTCAATCCCTACAGCGAGTTCATTCTGGCAACTGGTTCTGCTGACAAGGTGTTTACTCGTGTGTACTTTAAATTCCTAAGTATTTTAGATGAAAGACATTATAGTGAAAACCATTTCTTGTTACTTCTGTCTCCCAGACAGTGGCTCTGTGGGATCTTCGGAACTTAAAGCTGAAACTCCATTCTTTTGAGTCTCATAAAGATGAGATTTTTCAGGTGGGTAAACTTTTCTTACAACCTGTAGGAAAAACCTGAGAAAAGTACCAACTTTTGACAAGAACACGTAGGTTTATGTTCTTGTAACACAAATAAATCTGTTGAACCAAAATTCACTATTCAGTGTTTAACAAATACAGATAGTACCACATAGTTTTTCTCTGCCTTTCCCCACATGACTCTGAAGCAACTAGTCAACAACTTACTGCAGAAAAGATACTGGTTGTTCACAGTTACCTTCAGTACAGGTAGAAGGTGTCTCCAAAATGATGTGCTATAGGGAGGAGTTGGGTTCACATCTAATTTTGTGAACTCTGCCTGTTTACTTAGGTGTGCAAGTAACAGTGACTTTCAGACAAATTTTATAAATTTTCATGGTAAATCTGTAACGGTGAAATAATGTCTGTTCAGTTTGAGAAATTTTAAGACTTTAAAGCACTCTGTGCTACAGGATAGCCTTTGTGCTGGAAAAAACTGATTTACTGAGTATAGTTGTGAAAATTAGTGGCCACAGTGCTGGTTATTCAGGATATGCTTTAGAAATCAGTAACTGCTCCACTTAAGTTGTTTCTTTTCAATAGGTTCACTGGTCTCCTCATAATGAAACAATTCTTGCTTCAAGTGGTACTGATCGTCGGCTTAATGTGTGGGATCTAAGGTGAAGAGCAATTTCTTTCTCTTAGTATATATGAGCAGATGGTTAAAAAAACCCCCAGGCTGCAGACCTGCTTTATTTGGCACAATTTTGGATGATTTGTGCTGTTCTCTAGCCTTCCTTGCCTGCTTAACTCAGACCTGGCCTTTCAGGTATAAATAGAAACAGCACAGTACATCTAATGTTACTTCTCCATCAGGATTTCTTACTAATAGAATTGTTTTCTGTTGTCCTCAGTAATAAGTGATTTCTGCCTCCATGTACTTCCTAAGTTAGATTCCATTTCAGTAGTGCCAAACAGTTGATGTTTTATACCTGAGGCTTATAGTTATTTGACGATGATCAAACCACTAGCAAAAGCAAACACTGGAAACAAAGACCAGGAACTGTTCAGTTAAACTGACAGAGGATGCAATTTTCATTATTAATAAAAAAGTATGCACTACTTTCTTACAGTAAAATTGGAGAAGAGCAGTCAGCAGAGGACGCAGAAGATGGGCCTCCTGAGCTGCTGGTAGGCTTCTGTTCAGGTTTCAGTGTGCTGACATGAGCAGTGTGATGCCTTTTCACTGTACCTGGTTTTCAATCCATTCCTCTAACTTGCTGTAGGCTTCTCTATTCAGTTCTGAAGGTTTCCCCATTTCTAAGTGCTCTTAGAGGTAATCAGTGTGAAATGTGGATAGATTTCACAGCCCAACCCTGTGTGAAGTAGCACCATTTTGAGGATGTCAGTTGTTCATATAATAATAGGAAGTGTTGTTTTAGATGCTGTCTCAGCACCTGTATCTGTGTCCATAAGCAATGAGTGGGGAGTGGTTTCACACACACCTTCCTTATGTCTGTGTTGTGAATCTCTAGTAGCAAGTTTTTTTTCTTTGTGTGGGCATCAGCATGGTGAATTTAGCTTCAGAATCTTGGGTGTTAACAGATTTCTCTAGAGATGAAATGGCTTACTGAAGCTTGTGGGGTTTTTTAACAGTTTATTCATGGAGGACACACTGCCAAAATTTCAGACTTCAGTTGGAATCCTAATGAGCCATGGGTAATCTGTTCTGTATCAGAGGACAACATAATGCAAATATGGCAAATGGTGAGTGTCACAACAGCTCTTGAGTTGCTCTGAAGCTTGTTGAATGAATGAAACCAAAAAGGCCTGTTCTTAGGGCAGCTTCTGCCTTCAAGGACTGAAAGTAGTCTGTGCTTCTTATACTGTTTGGTTAGAGAGTAGGACTTTCAAAAGAAAACTAAGACTAAAACAACCTGAATAAATGCAACTGCTAGTTAATTCTTGATTCCAAGTCTTAGGTACTAGTTAATAATGAATGTGGCAGTTACAAACTTATATCTAACATTAGCCAAGACATACTCTTTTCCCTCCTCCCCTGCGTGTTGGCTGAGAGGCAAGATGCCTTTTAGCTCTCCAGTTACTTCATATTACTTCACATTATAGGAATTTGATCAGTTGCCTTGTAAATGTGGAATAAAGTCATTTGGGAATCAAGTTAAAAAATTGTAATGGACTTAAATGTGTGTCACAGGTCAGACTTCGGGGGTTTTTTATACCTGTTCTTGTTTTGTGTGTCCAGACTGAGGTCAAAAGAATTCCAAATGAAATGTTCATAGTAAGGCTGGTGGTTAAATGCCTAATGTTCATGCAGTTGAGATAAAACAATTCAAGAAGGCAACTGCCAAAATGTAGCCACTGTGTACACATTCCTAAATTCATCTGCCCTTGAAGAAAAGGCAGGGAGAAGGTCCCTTCGAGGAGGAGGTGATGGCTGTGCCACCTTGGTGTTATCAGTGTTTTTCTGTAGGAAGTGTAGATTGCTTGGAAACTATTGTGTCTACCACGTGTAATGTAATGTTTTATGTCTTCAGGCAGAAAACATTTACAGTGATGAAGAACCAGATATAGCAGCAGCTGAACTGGAGGGTCAAGGAACATAACCTTCTTCCTTAAGGAACTACTGGGAATGACATAGTAATGTAATTCGACTACTGTACACATAAAACAAAGCCCCTAAAAAAGCCTCAACAAAAAAACCCAACCTCAACAAAACCCAAAACACCGAAAAATAACCCCAAACAAGCACTGGGCAGAAGCAGAACATAAAAACAAGAATATTCTTAATCAGGTACAAAACACTTGTATGTAGTCAAGTTGTCATGGGGTACCCTTGGTTATTTGGGCACTTTTATTTGTTGTGTACAGCACGGCATTTAGCTTTAGAGAAAGTAAGAATGACTTAATACCTCTGTCTATATTTTTAAACCAACTTAGTGGATTCCTGTAAATAAAACAGTCAACTCCTCACTCTTTGCACACAAAGTATACCAAAAAACCATTTTTATTGATATGTAAAAAGAGCTTTTCACTTACATACACCATTTTTGGATTGGCTTTGCACAAATAAAATTTATTTTAAAAAAGTCTGGTGTGTTTAATATCCACTGGCATAAGGTGAATTCCTTAATTTCTGTGTGGTGCTAAAGAGATGCAGTTTTTAGTTTAGAACTTACTCCACAATTAAAGATCTTGGGAGATCAGAGTTGTCTTGATGCAAAAAAAATTGGAATAGATAACTTGGCTCCTTCACAAAGAGAACAGGTACAGGAAGAGGTTTGGGGAATACATGAGGATGGTTGTAGCTCTGTAAAGCTCAAGTATAAATCTTGGGTTTAAATTCACTACCCCTTGTCCTATCACTCCCTCTTTGATAAGTGTTCTTCAGTGTTCTTGATGTTCTTTACTGACAAACACCAAGAACTCTGATCTGGAGCTGTGTGGGTCACTCACTGGTGGCACCTTCCATATCCCACAAAGCCCTTCTGCATGGAGGAGTCAGCTGGGGCCTAGGGGTGCAGTCAGTACCTGCTCTTGTCCATGGAACAAAATGAAAGCAAAATTTAATTAACTATACTTGTAGCTCAAAGTGCTGCAGTAAATACAATGCCTGCACTGCTTTCTTTTCCCTGAGTCTGAACTGTCTTTCGCAGTACCTGTGCACACACACAGAGCTTCCCTCAATAGCAGCAACCTTGCACCAGCCTTTTTTGGGCAGCTCAGTCCCACAGCCAGTATTGAATTAGCAGAGCCTACGTCTTGTTGACTTAAAGCTTTTTGTTACTGAGTCAGAATGTGCTGCTGGGACCAATATGGTTTTTAATTTGCAAGTCATTTTTTTAAGTAGATTTCCTTATTGCCTGAGTAGCATCTTTGTGAAACATTAGAAGATCATATTTAAGCCTATTTGGCTGAGTGGCTTAAGATTTTGATTTTAAAAACTGGTGACCCCCACAGGAAGTAGGTAACTGCTTATGCACTGCCATTAGTGGTAAATATAATGGAAGTTTTTTTAAAAAAGACAATAGTCAGCCTGAACAATAGCTCCAACAAGATATTTCTTTATTGCATTGGACTGTAACAGCTACTTGAGATGTGTTCACACAGTACTTATGGAGCATACTTAATTCAATGCCTTACTCCTGCAGGTTGGGACAGGCTGAGGAAACACCATCAGGCTTCCCCTCCAGGGGCCTTACTTTTCAAGGTACTGAGTGTGTACTGAGGTAGTTAATTTGACCTGTAACACCAGGACATAAATTTGGTGGAAGTGATAGTGAACTACATCAGGACAGAGCATCTGTCACATGGCTAAAGTTGGATCAAGTTTAAAAATGAGGACTTGCATTCATCTCAGCTTGAAGAAATATCACAACGTTTAACAGGGTATTTAAATCTTTGGAGGCTCTAAGAGGTTGTTTTGTTGAAACAGAGCTGTAGGAGCAGTGTTCTTAGCACAGTTTGGGTTTGTGCTTCAAGACTCGACCGTCGCAGTCCATGAGACACACACACCACAGATCCCTGTTTGAACAAGAAATCCAAAATAATGTGCAACCTCAAAGCTATAAAAGATAGCAAACAGTTTTAAAGGAAATTAAAGTCCTCACAGGCAGCACAATATTCTGAAATTACTAAAAGCTCAAGCTAGCTGGGTGCGAGAGTCAGCAAGATCCACAAAAGCTAGTGCAGTGAGATGAGACTGAGCTAGGCTGTCAGAAGAATTGCAACCTTCCTTCAAGAGAGCATGTCTAGACAAGAGGAAAAAGGTGAATTATTGAAATTGACATGTAAAAAACAAAATAAACCCACAAACAAACCAAAACCAAACCAGAAAGGAAAAGTACCTGTGAAGAGTAACTTCCTAAAGGCCCAAAAGCAAATGTCAAAACGTTCATCAGACACAAGAGCTTGCAAATCTGACCATTTTCCTAAGGAATTTAGGAAGGCTGGGGAGGTCCAAGGAAGCACTAAGGGATTTGACTTCTCTATCAGTATGCACTGGAAGGAAGGAGGGAAATAGGAGTTGCAAAGGCCTCTGACGAAACAAGTCCCAGATGTGAGGGAATACTTTGAAGTACAAGCAGAGCAACTAAGACCAAGCAGTGTACTTGGATTTCCAAAATACTTGGCACAAATCTAGAAAAGGCTCAGGGTTACAACCTACATCACTCATCTTTTATAAACCAGGCATATCTTCAAACAAGTAAACAATTTTTAAATTAAAAAATTAATTCTATCTTCAAACAGCCACGGTGCACATCAGAGTAAGTTGTAGTAGAACAGTTGTAAATGCCACATAGAAAAAGACACAAAGGAAAACTGAACTTAAAGCCAGTTCCAAACCAAAAAGCTTAGGGATGTTGCCAAATCATAGAATCA